CTGTGATTATTTTGTAATTTGAATTGTATCACTACAGTATTCCCCTAGAGCCATCCGTGATATAGCTTACAAAGCTAAGGCACTCTCCTCTGTCTACAGTGTCTCAAGGTCCTTCTGTGGTCCCCCTCTTCTCTACCACCTCTATTTTATCCGCACTTCTTCTTCAGAAAGCATAAAATGGGTGCCAACTGTTGCTCATTCATATTGGAGAGGGGGATTTGGAGGACAGTTGGAAGCTCTGTTTTAGGAGAAAGGATATTTATCTAACAAGACTTGGCAAAGGGTGAAAGCTGATGTTGTATTAAGGAGTCCTCAATTTCTTAGTGTGAATGTATTATCTCTTCTTTGAAGCCGTTCCATTTTTCAATTTTAAAAACTTCCTTTCTTTCTATTAGCAAGTTGTCACACTAGAGTCAGGGATAGGGAGAGAAGGGGGTAGAAATGGATGGTACCGATTCGTTTAAAAACCTGAAGTCCCAATCCTTCCCAGCTCTAAACATTTCTTCTGCCCCTCTCTGGACCCTGAGTCCCTGATTCTCCAATCTGCACCTAAAGAATGAACTTTCTCACTCCTGTTAGTTGTTTGGAAAGAACAAGGAGAGGAGGTACCTGTAGATCCATCACCCCTTATCAGTCTTTCTGTTATCAGTTTTGTAACTTACCCGTTCCTTGCCTGGTTGATATCTGCGTAACTGGAGATAGCTGGGCCCTTTATATTTAATGTGATTGAGGATCTACTTGGATAAATGGGCTTCAGAGCTCTGTGTGCTTGATTAATCTCATCTGTTGCTTATTCTCCATCCTCTATTTCTACCCTCTTTGGAATCAGTCTTTTATTTCTTCATTTTTTTTTAAATTGGGTTATTCTTTGGTTTGTTACAGTGGAATTTTGTGGAATGTAGCATGCCCATAAGCTTAAATCTATCATGTCTAAATTAACAGTTTTATCTCTACTTAATATCCTGTCATTTCCTGCGGTCTGTCTTTGATTGATGGCTCTCCATCACTGTCCATACAGGGCTTCCCTTCTCCGGCATCAAATAGTTTTCCATGAAGATACTGGACCACTGGCTGGGAGAATCAAGGAGGCTTCTGCAGAGTGCTTGAATCTCTTCCTCTGGATATCCCTTCTTGGTTTTTGGCCCCTTAATACCTTAGCCTCCTTAGACTCTAACTGTCCCCTTCCATTCAGGGAGGCCTCGGAGCTCTGCCTCTTCTCCTTCCCTGGGGTTATTCTGTAGATTCTTTTGGACATTAAAATAGGACAAGTCTGTAGTTCACTTTAGTTTTTCACCCTCTCTCCAGAATCTTTGTCTGTTCTTGATGGATAGACAATATCTTGTTACCCATTATTCCATTTTTTTTCCAGATTTTTAAAAGTTTGTTTTATGATCAAGTAAAAATGTATTAACCTCCATTGTGGTTGAAAACAGGACACATTTTCATTCATAAAAAAGTTTCTTCCTTCTCTCTGGTGCCTCCTTTACTTTCCTTTGGTTGCTCTAAGTTTACATCTTTTTAATTGTGTTGCCATAGTTACGATGTTATTTCAGGAAAGAAGTGGTTTTAGGAGAGAGATGATGGTCTATTGATCACATGCATTTAATCTCTGCAATGCTTTTCATTATATAACCAACTCTGAAATTTGAGACCAGAATTGAAATATTTTTGTCACTTCTAATATTAATTAAATGCTTAATAGAGAAGCGTTGATGAAAACAGTTGGTCAGCTGTTAACATCCACAGTGGAATCATTTTTGCTGCTGTCAAAATAAGTTGTGCATTTGACCTTGGGATATAACATGACAAACATAACTTATGCTGACTAATGAGCAAGAATCATTCCTCTCTGTTGAGTCTGTGAGTGACTTTGAGAACCTAGCACATGGCCCAGGGAAACCCAGACTGAGACCAAATTTGACAGTGCCACATTAGTCAATGAGCACCAGTCCCCCTCTGTACTTTTCCCAGAACTGGCCAGCAGTGCAGAATCGAATAAGGCCCAGTATTAGTCTTCAAATACTTCATTACTTTGATTCTAAAGGCAGGGTAGATGAGCACATTATATATTACATATCTTGTGGCCCAGATGAGTATTTGCTGAGTGCTGTCAGGAAGCTGAGAGGAAGAGGACAAATGGAAGAACCACACTCACCTGTGCATAGTTTGGAGCAGAAGAACGATGAAAGGGAAAGCATCAAGTGCTAGCCTTGGCCATGCAGTGCTGAAAGGCAGTTGGAGTGCTGGTCAGGGCCAGCCTCCCCCTTAGTGAAGGTAACCCCTGTGAACTTGAACAAATCCTCGGACTAACATCAAGCTGTCATATCTGTTAAACAGTGCTCGACACAGCAGGCAGTGAATGAAGAGATGAATAAGGCATAGAAACTAAAAAGCAGAATCTCTTTTAAGGTGGTAAAGCTATAGAATTCTGCAAAGCTGGCAGTGCAAGTGTCTTTTGCTGGAACCCCTGACATCCTTAAAAGCTTGACATCATGGGGCATTTCTCCAGCCAGTGTTACTATTATTTGGTGTACCTTTTATTAAATTAGCACTCCCATTGATCAGAGATTGCATCTAAAATGTGAGCAGTTTCTTCATGCCTTTCTCACACAGTTTTTCTTGTGAAAAAGATGAGTTATCTGACTAGTCTGTGAAGTGAATTACTATAAGAACAGTTTACATACTTCTTTAGTCTTAAATTATATGCATTAATCATTCACAGCAGTGTGACTCTGGCATTGATCCAAAAACCTAGGGATGTTCTAAGCGATAGTGTCACTGTGTTGATGAGTCTCATATAATATTTGGGTTTGAGTTGCTAAGAAAGAAATCAGGTGATTATTCTAATAGTGTCTAATTTGGTCCTTAATTACCTCACTTTGACTCTTCACAACTGAGCCTGTCTAAATGTAACATAAACATTAGTATGAGAATTTTTTTTCCATTCTGAGCTGTTTTCAGACAGTTTTATTTCATAATCAAAAAGAATAATTTATTAAATCCCAAGCTAAAAAAACCCAACTTCTAGAAACGTACTTGTTTCCAGTTAGGCTTTTCGCTATAGGTTCATGGTCTCCGACACAGTATAAGGAGCATAGCATTTATAAATACCCACTAACAATGTAGTCGTGTCAATCACAGCATCTGACACAGGGATGAAGAAAGGGGAGACTTGTTATACATTTAAGATGCTTTATGATCAAAGGTCGGCACACTGAGGAAGAGTGAGCTGGACATTTCCAGTGAGTGCTTTGGGTTTCCATTGGTGGTCATGTACCACTCCACAAATTCGAAAACTGAATAAAAAGTGCTAAAAGAAGAGCAGATACATGGAGGTTGAGTTTTCCTCATAGGCAGTAGTGAGAAAGGCATTCCCAGAGACCCCAAGTTGTAGTAGCAAATCTCAAACTCTTCTTTGCAGTTAGTTGTTCTGCCAAAGGAGGAAAAACCATGTGCCTAACTGATAAGTCTTCTGCTTCTTACAGTGATGGTATGGAAGCCATTCAAAATGACGACTCACTCAGCATGTGTCTGAGACTAGAAAGTGAAACTGTCTAGGACACAACTGTCAATATAAGGAGAGTTAAGAGTATAGTAATTTCAGCGAGTGATCGTCTAAGTTGTAAAATACTACATGTTAAATGGTGGGGGGGTTGCTGAGACTCTACTGAGAACAAAATAAATACAATGTATTTATACATGGACTTTGGGAGATTAGAGATATGTGCTCTTAAGTAAATCATGCTTTGTCAAGGAGAAGTTTCATTTCACAAATAAAATTTGAATAAGAAATGGGCTTCTCCTCTTATCCCTCCTGTGCAGCCCACACCAGGGGCACAGTAATACGTGCCCCCAAGCAATCATGGCAGGGACTATGCAGTAATGTACCCTGACATCATGAATGGGGTATAAACCAAAGCTGACTTAATTACGTTTTGAAACAGAGAAGACTATGGAAACTGTTTAGATCATGTTATAGCTAAACCCAGCACTAACCATATTCTTATACCTCGTGTATACACTATACCACAAAGATAATCAGTGCAAATGTACCCAATGGTCTCCACGGAATGCTAGGAATACCTCCTTGACTCTCTTTTAACAAGGATAGCTTCCTGGGACATCTTGGGAATGAGCATCTATAGCTAGAAAAAAGTGGTTACTCCTTGGGCATGGCTCAGTCAAGGTGACTACCTTATCCCTTTTTTATCAATACAGTAGTTGTCCTCACTCCTCCTTATGCTGGGTTTCTGATCACAGCAGCCTGTCACTTCTTAGTTGAGTACAAGCAGCAAAAAACAGGACCTTGGTTTCTCTTTATTTAGAAGGCACAGCAAGAAATGAGGAGAGTAAAGGACTCACAACTAGTTTCCAAGAGAAAGAAGGACAGGTGGTCCTTACTGGGAGGTGGGTACAAAGCAAAGAACTCTGTTGGTGACTACCATTCAGGCTTGAGTGCTGTAGAGACCAAAGAGGGCCACTCAGCCTTGTAGCAACAGAGACATGAATCACAGCATGTTTTTCCGAGGTTGACAAGCAAGGTGGCCTGATTATCATATGCATGTGTGTCGGATGGTGTGTACATGCTTCAACCTGAATTGATGGAGAATGAGAAAAAAGGTAGTAAACATAGTCCCAGGACAGGACACAGCAGGACTCTTCTTACTACACAGGGATCATGAGATCAGGGCAGGGCACGTTGTCACAAAGGCTGGGCACATCAGCTAGGAATCCCAAGGTGCTGAGACTGTCTACAAAGGTAAATGTATGCCGTCTTGCAGCAGTGAGAATGTTGGTTTTCCTACTGTAAATGATTCTTTTGGGGTATCTTTTTTAAGTCGAGGCAACTTCTTGACATTATTTGTATTTGCAGTATCTCAGCACATCTAAACATAAGAGTTTATTGAAGATACGGTGAAGCCATCAAATTAATTGAATTATCCTTAGCTGCTGTCCTAGAGATTAATTGTAAAACATTGGCCTTGTTTGCTGTTTTTCAGGTACCATGATCAACAGGATGTTACTAGCAACTTCCTTGGAGCAATGTGGTTGATATCAATAACTTTTCTCTCCATTGGTTATGGTGACATGGTACCTAACACATACTGTGGGAAAGGAGTCTGCTTGCTTACTGGAATCATGGTAAGTGTCTTTCCCCTTCCATCTCTTTCATTTATGCTTCAGAAGAAACAGAAACCACTCAGTCCGTATATGTAAATGATTGTGAGTTACTCATTTCCTCATAAAAAAACAGTTTTGAAATATGTTGGGAGCTTAAAGACTTCTGTTGCATCATATGTAACAGAAGTTTCTGTCCTGCTCAGTCCTGTCTAGTCACCTCTAGTCCTGCCACCATTCGGTCCCAAATAAACACACAGAGGCTTATATTAATTATAAACTGTTTGGCCTATGGCTCAGGCTTATCATTAACTAGCTCTTACAACTTAATTCAACCCATTTCTATTAATCTATGTTTTGCCATGTGGCTTCGTGGTGTTACCTGTGTTCCATTACATCTTGCCTCCACCCCACCCCCACCCTGGAGCCCTGGCAGCACTCAGCGTCTCCTCCGACTCTGCCTTCTTCTCCTTGTCTCTCTGCTTGGATTCCCTGCCTGGCCTGTTCTGCCTTGTCATAGGCCATAGCAGCTTCTTTATTAATCACTGGTAGCAACACATATTCACTCCCACCATACAGAAAGTCCATCTCACAGCCATTATATAATGTTATTTATTCTGTTATTGAATGTTGGTTGGGTGAAAGGCATAGGTCTGGGAACTGCACAGGGAGTGCAGCAGAACTAAACACAAGCTGTCCCTGGGGGCCTCCAGCAGAAACCCTGTGTTGTCGAAATGATTGGTAATTACACCTGAGTACATATAGAAAGAAGTAAATGTTTAGGAAACTGGAGAATAAGAATAGGACCATATCAGAGAAATAACCTATGGAGAATTGACTTTTAAGACGAAATGAGACTTCTGGGCCAGGAATGGGGTGTCTTCTGTTTGAAAGCCACAAGTTAAAGAATGCAGTTTATTTGAACAAGGTAAGTAGACAGGAGTAAAGGGGGGGGGGGGGGTCATGGACATTCCTGAGTTGGGGACAGGAAGCCAGGGATTGCAGGACACTGGAGGGAGGTTTGCTATAATGGTAAGTGATGGATCTTTTCCCAGTAGGCCTAACAAACTCAGGCATGTTATTTGCTCCTCATACACTGTGGTGTAGCCTGAACTGGTGTGCCCCATTCACTCTACTATATAAAAATTGGAAAGGCACTTCCACTGTTAAGCAAGGTACCTAAGGCTAGAGTGCTTCTCCAGCCAAAGAACCAGCAGAGACCAGTAGAAAGGTTAAGTAAGCTTTAAATAAAAGCACTCATGGGGGCAGGAGATGTAGGCAGCTCATGAAAGAACTGGATGCCCAGTCTTGAGTACCTTACAAATTTGATTGCAGATTAAGGTGAAGTAAGAGTGACCATGAACCTGTGAATGTGGTCACTGTGCTCTGCCTTTGAGCCTATTGTACATATATTGTGGCAGGGAAAGTCCTACACCCAGTGTTAGGGTAAGACCTCAAGTCAGGGACTGCAGTTGGATGCCAGTTTGTTCTTAGCAATGCAACATCCCTTGTGGAAGATTGTGTGGTGGCCACTTAAAACCAGTAAGGTAGCAGAGAGGTCATGGGGCTTAAGAACTCAGATACGTACCCTAAAGGGGAGAACACCAACTCAACGTCTCTACACTGTCCATGCACTAGGTAGCAGGAAAGAATACCAGGTGGCCTTTTTAAGTCCCTTGAGTACTGTCCACTCAGAATGGAGTCACCTGAAGCATTTGCCTAGGAAGATGGCTCCACGGATTTTAATTAGCTGAAAGGACTGGGAACCTGAGCATCAGGAGAATGGAAATGTGCTTCTGCCCTTGGTAAAACTGAACAGAGATAAGGAAACTTCCCATGCCAATTTTAAAGACAACAGCACTCTCAGGATGACTATCAATTCCAAAGAGTGAGAATTATAATTTAGGGACATAATTTAACATTGTTTCTTGTGAAATAAAAACACAGTTTTGTGAATTTAGTGAACTTCAAATTTTTTCATTATACTTGGTATATATAACTCATTAAATGTTTGATTCTAGAATATCTCCAATTTCCCTCAAATAATAGCATTTTATTGCATAGCATAAAACTTTGGGAAATAAAATATATAAAGGTATATTTTTGGAAGGCTCCATAACAAGCCCACAAGGGACATGAATGATGCTATTTATAAAGACAGAACTGATAACTACAATCTTTCCCCCCATGCCTCTCAAAAACAACTTGCTTGGTGTTCCTGTTTTGGCAAGAGGTACCCATTTTGTTATTAAAAGAGGCATGACTTTGGGGTGCATATACCTTTGTAGCAGACACAAATTTGACTTTAACCTTTCCTGGGCACAGGCACCTTGAGATCCATCAGTCTTCTCTTAGTATTGCTCTGTCCCTAATGTCTCCAGAACTGCCCCTGCGAAGTCTTCTCTGGCAGCACAGAATCTCATGTTTGCCTCCTTCAACTGCTTCCTTGATTAGGTTCCACTATTGATCTTGGTTTTGGAGAAGAAGTTCTAAACATCTTTTAATCTGTGCAGACGAAAGAAAGGTCTGTGTAATGAAATGCACATGGCTTCATTCTTCCTCTGTAATCTCACAGCATAACAACAGTCCATTCCTAAACTCAGGGAATCCCTTGTCTCTCCCATATAAGAACAAACTGTTTAATTGATCCGATTAAAGAGTGTTTACTTACATACATAGAGAAATCCACAAATCTTTGAGTAGCCTTCTTATAAGTGCTTTTGAACAATGCAGTGACTCTCCCTTGGGGACAGGTAAATTTCCATAGTGTGAGGCTACTGGGCAGTCTTCTGGAGTAAGCATCTAAGGAGTGGATTATAGCCTGTATTAACTCCTTAGGGACTTAGAGCAATATTTGGAGGCAAACTAGATGTAATGTGGAGAATGTCTGAATGAGATTATAGATTTGTAAAAGAAAACAACTTTATGAAAGGCTAGTTTCTTCGAGATGAAGTATGTTTGACAAATTTTGTTTGCCTTTGCTTTCTTTTCATTAGGGGAAGTATAATAATACTCAGGGACTTAGCCCAAAATGACTGCCTATTTCAGTGTTTATTCTCCTATTCCTTGGACATATGGGTTGATGGATTTCCCATGAGCGTCTCCTATCTGCCTGTCTCTCCTTCTGAGCTCTAGCCTTTAATAAAGTGTGACTAAGAAATACAATTTACAATCCTCTGCGGAGAGCACAGGGTCATCTGGGCATCATCTTGAATATTGTCTCTGGAGTACTATGCCTTTTGTTCTTTTTTATCTCTTGGTTTCCCTGCCCTTGCGTTTATGACATTTTGATAGAACTTACACCTTTAAGTAGTTTGTTTTCATTTTGAAGTATAGTTGATCTACATGCTAACACCTACAAAGACTTGCCAAAGTCCTGCTTGTTTTCTTCCCAAAGCTAATTGGCACTGATAAATTACAGCATGTCATCATCCTCAGTGCTTACATTAGTCAAAACTCAAAATTAGGGTATAATTTAGAAGTTTTCAAAAAGCTGAATTTGTGCCGTGGGTCATATATTTTTAGAGACAAGGACATTAGACTAAACTTACATCTGTACTACTCTGGGCAGAAATAATATTATTCAACCATGAGGAGCGATTATTTTCTATAACATTTCTAATAGAAAGTCAAATAGCATTATCAAAAATTAGGCCTATCCTTACCTGAATTGCTTATTGTGAATTGATGACACAGAGCCTTGCCTATAATATCCAGCTGTGTTTACAATATTAGACACAGGTGATTATGGAATTCCTAAAATAGGGAGAGCTTGGATACTGCTAGATTTCAGGAAGAAATTAAACATTGGGATTGGGGACTCTGTCTCAGTCATAGTGTACTTGCCTGACATGCTGAAGGTCTTCGGTTTGATTCCCATTATAATACATTCATATTCTCTCTCTCTTTCTCTCTCTCTCTCTCTCTCTCTCTCTCTCTCTCTCTCTCTCTCTCTCTCTCTCTCTCTCTCTCTCTCTCCCTCTCCTCCTCCTCCTCCTCCTCCTCTCAGCACCCCCTAGTATTATATTTAAAACATAAAATAGCTTAACAGAAGTCACACTACTTTTCTTTTTTAAAGACAAAAACATTAAGGTTGTAATTTCAGATTCTCCCCCTTAGAAGAATAATTTCTCTACTCTTCCTAAATTTGAGGAAACACTGAGGAACTGAAGATTTCCTGTTTGGGATGTTTTTATAAACAATAGAATGAATTCTAACTAGTTTCCTACTTTCCATTGAAGGTGGTAGGCAAATACACTGTCAGGTTTTAGTGCCTCGAGTTTTTGTTTCTATCTCCAGTTTTTCAACAGAATTGACCATTTTACTTAGCACTTATTCTTCCTCCCAGTTTCTATCTATACAGATGAATGTAACACATCTCGAAAGCTGTGTATTTTCTTTTACTCATGAATGTATGATTGTTTCAAGAGGAACCATATTGATAATGGTATCTTTCACTGTTACCAGAAAGGTCATTCATATATTAACTTTCACTTCCCTACTTCTGTAATATGATTCTTCTTGGTCATTTGGCCCTTTAGACAATGAATGAATGAATTTTGAAACATAATTGCCTTTAAATATAGGTTAATATCTGTCCCTTCAAAGGTATGGGCTGTAAGTGGTTCTTTAATAAAGATCTATTGAACCCTAGACTGAAGAAAAAATAACCACAGTGAGGTCTCCAGGTGACTTGGATTTCTTCTTTCTCACTAGCAATTCCATGTAAGGATTTCCCAGTTCATAACAATTTGAAAAGACCACACTAATTAATATTTTTTAACTATTTGGGAAGCAAAAAGAAATGTAAGTCCAGAAAAGAGCCTCTGTACCATTTTGCCTTTTACTCCAGAGCACTAGATAGTATATTCCACGAGAACACTAGATAGTAATTCCATGAGAACTAGATAGTAATCCCACTGGTACGCTAAATAGTAATTCCAGAAAACTAGATGGTAATTCCATGAGCATCAAATTGGTTGGCTGTCTTGGGTGTCAGTTGGGTAAGCTCCCTCTGAACTCAGTTCAAAGGCATTCTGAACTAGAACTATGAATTAGCTTCAGGTCACATTGAATCCGATCACATAATGCCCATTAACAATAGTGTATGTTTTAATTCATGCAGCAGTGCATTTTATGCATATAGAAAATGAGAATTCTGGGCTTTTTCAGTAGGAAAACTAAATTCCTGCTCAATTCCCTAACCGGAAGTCTAGTTCTTCCTAGAATTATTACCTCACAGATAAATCACAGGAATTTTTTTTACAAGGAATGCGGCAGCTGATTTCTTCCATCTAAGGAGTTGTTGTGACCTGCCAACACATAACACCATCTCAATTTTCTAACCCTGCAACCTTTTAGTTTTCAGACACACGCTTAACTCTGTAAGTGTCTGAGCTCACCCTGGCACTCTTTCCAATAAGGAGCTTTAAATGCAGAGTGACTCAGTGTTGACGGCCACTTTGATGCACTACTTCCTTCTTTCCAGCCCAAGATTACAAGCATGAGTTGACCTAGCAAATTATAGAGATGGATTCCCAGTCCTGTGGGCTTCATCTCAGACTAAAACACTGCCCCCCCCACACACACACCCATGCACACACCCTTCCTTAGGAGGACACTTGAAATGGGCATCTGACCTCCGGTGGCAATGCCAACTTGATTTGAAGAAAATCAGGGAAAGACATTTTTGATAGAAGGAATTATTTTCATGACCCGAGGAAGTCTTGTAACACTCTAATGGGTTGTAATATTAAACCTGAGTGATTTGGAGAGTTTTATTTGCCAAAATTGATTGTTTTACATATTTATTATGAGAGCATTATTCTTTGTATCAGGCAAGGGCAGTAAAATATATTTATGTTTAACGATTGAATCAGTCCACCTCAGAAAAACAAAGGCAGGTGACAATGTCAAGTATGTGTTTACCTTCTTCCTGAAGAACTGACATATGAAATGATACATAAAAGGAAAGGAAAGGGCTAAAACCCCTACAGAAGAGTTGGGTTCAATGCCCAGCACCCACATGGTGGCTTAGAACCCTTTGTAACTCCAGTTCCAGAGCATCTGATAACTTCTTCTGACCTCTGCAGGCACCAGGCATGCACATGGTACACCGACACACATGCAGACAGAACACTCAGACACATAAAATAAGTTAACCTTTGAGTGGTTCTACTCATTTCTAGGTTAAACATGACATTTAAGAAGTATATTTTTGGTAAATCTTGATTATCATTGAATGCTCTAAATTGGCTATTAAAATGCTGTTTGCACTCTAATGAACTATTATACAAACCACACAAGGATAATTTGAGCCTGAAATACTTTGACCATTAGTGGTTTTATCAGGCCATTCACCATAGCGGTAGGGATTCTGGAATTAAAAATAAAAATAATGCAGAGGGCCTAGTCCAGCATTGATGCAGGGGGAGGGGCTTGGACCTGCCTCTACTGAATGTACCAGGCTCTGCAGACTACCCATGGGAGACCTTGCCTTGTTTGAGGAGGGAATGGAGGTGGATTTGGCAGGAGGGGAGAAGGAGGGAGGAGAGGGGGATCTGAGATTAGTATGTAAAATGAATAAAAAAATTCCTTAGTAAAAAATTAAATAAAAATAATGAATCCCATTATTAAGTTGGGTTTTTGGAAGATGACTTTTTATAAGCTATAATTAAAATCTTTCTGCAGTGCTCTATCAAAGGAGCTTCATTTTTTAATGGCTGTGTCTTTAAGTTAAGAAAATTTCATCCCAAAGTAGTGTTTCAAGATGGTTCCTATAAGTGCTTATAGAATCCACCATCACTAGGTGACCTGAAATGAAAATGTCATGCTGTTAAATTTTTTGAGCATTAATTGAGGAATGGTCTTGGGGAGGTAGACATCTTCAACTTCTCTTGCATCCTAGATGTCAGCACAGCTGCTACTTCTGTTGTCTAATTGAGGACAGAGCAGGGAAGCTATCACTCTCGTCTGTCACCAGTGAGCACTCTCCATGTGTTGGGGGATGAATTAGAACTTATGCTAGCTCCCAGTTCAGTTTTATCTGGCTCATGGTTGGGATCGTTAGTACTGCTTCTCATGTCTTGCTTTTTCTTAAACAAGTTGACTCTGCCCCATTTAGCATTTACTTTGTTAGATGAAGAGATGATAAATTATGTAAGAAAAGAAAACTTACACTCTTATTTTTAATACATGGGTTCAGAAATACACAGTCTTCAGGTTAGTTTTTAGGTGACTGAAAGGCAAGTTAGTGATTTGCTTTGTTTTTTTTTTTTTCTTTCATTAAAAACAGAAATGAAAATGGGAGAAAAGAAGCCAAGATTTATTCCCTAACTTTGGTGAAAAGACCATGACTCATCGTATTAAAGGCATGCAGGGATCTTCATTCCAGAGAGGAACATATGTTAGTCCCAACTGTTTCGACATGGGTTGTGGTGGTGACAAGGCACTGGAGGAAATGTACAAACCACACTTCCATTCTTACGTTATGAAACGGAATCGCCCTGAAATAGACACTGGGTAGACAGCAGCAATGTGCCATTCCCTCAGTTACTACTGCCATTCACCTGCTGCCGGGAATTCTCCCCCAACTCCAAAAACTTTCTGACATGAACAATTCTGTTTTGCATAACTCCAAAATTTAAACAATCAAAGTTTTTTAAAACATAATTCTACACACACACAATTTTATACGTATCAAATCCTCTTATATTAAGAACGTAGATGGGTCTCAAGCTTATAGTATCCCTAATTAAAACAACACTGAAACATAAGGAGAAAATGGCTTTGTATTCAACTAGAAGGTTTCCTTTTTTCCTCCTTTATTTCTGATTTTATTTATTTTATCTTATTTTACTTTTGGCTTTTTATCACTGGGTCTCTCTCAAATACTCAGGTCAACCTCCAACTCACTATGTAGCTGAGGATGACCTTGAACTCCTGTTCCTCCTGCCTCCCCAAACGCCAGGATTCCTGGTATGACCACCATACTTGACTTCAATAAATGGGTTCCTAAGTGCCTCTTTGGGGACAGTTTACAAGCATACGGTTAGGATAATGGAATGAGAAGTGTAGGTAACAGTTGAAAGATTACACAAATTATTGGATTCGCTTGCTTCTCTCCTTTGTTCCCAAGGTGCTCATTGCAAAGCACAGTCTTCGGTGAGTGAGAGAGCACTCATCAAGAAATGGGCCATCAACAGGAAGAGTAAAGCCCAGAATAAGCACAAGGAAAAATTGCTTCCCAAGGCTCTTGATGCCGGTGATTTTCCACTCCTATTAGGATTTTGATTTCTTTCCAGAAGGATCTCAGCAGTAGCCACCTGCCCAGGGAGAAAAAAATTTCATTGTCTTGTGCCAACTGCCCTCTCATGGCTGGCGGTAGCAGTTTGGAGCCCCTCAGCTTTCATGGTCTCGGCTTGTTAAAGAACCCTGACTGCCCCCAGTGAGGAGCAAAAGGGAGCAAATCAGCAGCAGGTGCCTGTGTTGGTCTAGCAAGTACTAGCCTGGGCAGAGGTGGGAGCAGGTGGCTAGCAAATCATCAGCCCATCATTGTCGGACGGAGTTGTTTAGACTTTGTGGCTGAAGTTAAAAAGCCAACAGCAAAGGTGCCGATGTTCCTTCCCTGAGTCTGTTCCTTTCTTTCATCAGGATCTAGTGCTAAAACCACTTTAATTGCCTTCACGGAGCACAGTGTATTGTGGCATCATCACACCTCAGACTTTTGTGTTTCTAATATCTTCACAAGTGAAATATCTTGAAGCGCTTTCACTCTTTTTAAGGTTAAGTGCAGTTTGCTATATTTTGTTCATAGCCTCCTTCATCTAAAGCACAGACTGTCAGGGAATCATACAACACTGCAGGATTGAGTAGATTGCAGATGCTATGTCTCAATGGTGTGGTTCTTACAAAATCTCTAAGTGAATCTAGATCAAGGCTGCGAACTATTGATTTCAAAGTTACACCAGTAATTGGGCTGGAGTCAAGGCTCAATGGTTAAGAGTGTGTACTGTTTTTGCTGAGGACCTCAGTGAAGTTTGAAGCAAACATATGGCATGTGCATTAAAACAAAATCAGCTGGGTGGCGGTGGCACCCAGGTGGATTTCTGTTGAGTTCAAGGCTGGCCTGGTCCACAGAGCTAGTTCAAGGACAGCCAGGGCTACACAAAGAAACCCTATCTCAAAAAATAAACAAACAAAAACCAAGTTAAACCAGTTATTAAATAAGAATAGTGGTAATTTATTTGATACTTATCCATTGTGCTCAAGATGAGCCTTCATACTTTATGAGTTTACCTAATAAAATAAGGTGAATTGACATTCATTTTGAAATATAATATATGTATCATGCAGAAATGATTGCATGTGATACTGATATAGATATCACGGTGTGGGGTTAAGGGGATGAAATGGAATCAAAGCTAATCTAGGTGCACAACTGAATTGTAACTTAACTCAGATTTCAATGGATCTTAAAAGCCAAGGACTAGCTATACAATGTCCGGATCTTTCTGTTATTATAGCCCTTCCTTTCTGGTGATGCCACTTTCTTTACATAACTAGGTAAAAGAGGATTATCAAACACTCTGTAAATTGATGTAAAGAGTATCTGCTCATCAGGGCCATATCTCTGTGACTGTAATTATTGGACTATAACAAGGTGAATAAGCAGATTTATATTTCATTTTCCTCTTTTTCTTGCAATAGCTTGTTTTCAGGGAGCCCCACCCACACTCCCATTCATTCTTTGGTTCCACAGCTCAGTTCTAAGTCATATTTATTAATTCAAATAAAAATGAAAACATTCTGTAAACTTATAACAAAGTATCTGTAAATTGAATTTACTAAGGCTTTTATAACTATCTAATTGTAAGACTAGGTATTTTCTTAAAGCATAAATTTATTTCACTTTTTAAATGTTTGATTATTTATGCAGAATGTATATTGTTCATACAAGCTGCTGATTTCTTTTTTCTTTCATTTTTTTAGATTATAATATATCATTTCTCTGTTTCCTTTTTTCCCTCCAAAACCTCCCAAATACCCCCTTCTCTCTTTTAAATTCATGACCTCTTTTTTCATTAGTTGTTGTTGTATGCATACATGTATATATGTGTATATTCCTAAATATTACCTTCTCAGACTTTATAATGTTACTTGTATATGTGTTTTCGGGGCTGACCATGTGGTATTGGATAACGAATTGGTGTGTTCTTCCCTGGGGAAGATGATTTCTCCCACTCACAACATTCCTTGACTACCTGTAATTATTTTTTCTGTATGGTTGAGGCCTTCCCTTTTCCATATCCACTTTGGCATGCCTATTGTTGTGTCCTCATTCAGATCAAGTTTAGATAGTCATGTTCGTGAGACTTTATGGATGTAGCTTCTCACAGTACTAGGAGATACAGTCTCATATCCAACTCCCTGATCCTCTGTCTCTTACAGTCTTTCTGCCCCTTCTTCCACAATGTTCTCTGGGCCTTAGATGCATGAGTTGTTTTGTAGATATATCCATTAGGACTGGACTCCACAAGTCTGTATTTTGATAGGTTGTGGTTTACTGTAGTGATCTTCATCTGTTGCAAAGAGGAGTTTCCTTGATGAGGGGTGAGGATACACTTATCTGTGGGTATAAGAACCAATGTTTAAATTGCTGTTAAGAACATGGTTATTTAGTTAAATGAAAGTTATAGGTTCTCCTCTAAAATCCATAACTTTGCTAGTCCTATGTAGTTGGTTAGGTTTCTAGTTAGGGAAAACATGCACAATTTCCCTTTTGTATAGTGCGTTTTAAGTCCAATTAGAGAGCTGTGGGTTACTGCCAAGGTATTGCCACTACCATACCCTTAGGTTATTATGCCATGCTGGTCATTGTTGTGGTTCATATGTGTCACAGCTGGGTAGGACTGTTGGTTGCTTACCTCCTTTGGAAACTTGCATGCTTCTGATACCATGAAAACAGGTCCTCAGGGAAGAGACATTGAGATGAGTTCCAGCTCAGGGGCCTCTGGTTTCTTCAGCAACAAGGACTTAACTTACATCTCTAGAGGCCACCAAGGGTAGTAACAATAGCCTGTAATATTTTGGGAGTCTCTCGGAAAACCCTAACAACTCAAAAGAGGGCTTTTCATGTACAGTGTGATATTTGATAAATGGTCTTTGGATGGATGGATAGATAGATACATACATACATACATAAATAGATAGGTAGATGGATGGATAGATGGATGGGGGGGGAGAGAGAGAGAGAGAGAGAGGAGAAATTTTCATTTAAACTGTATTTAAGTCTTGTTTTTTTTAGGTAGTTAACAGTATGGTCCCTTATGACTTTTTCAGACATCCTTCCTGTTGTTTTACCCTTCTGTATTTATCTTCATTCCCCCTCCCTAATTAGAACCCCCCTCTTAGAGCCTCCTGTTGCTTCTCAGTTTGCCAATCAGATTGCTTATACTGTGTTATTCCCCTTTCCCTTGATTATCCCACTCACCTATCACAGCAATGGTCCCTGTCTTAGGTAGGGTTTGTGTTGCTGTGATGAAGCACCATGACCAAAGCAACTTGAGGAGGGAAAGGGATTGTTTGGCTTATACGTCCATATCACTGTTCATCATTGAAAAAAGTCAAGACAGAAACTCAAACAGGGCAGGAACCTGGAGACAGGAACTGATGCAGAGGCCATGGAGGGGCATCAATTCCACCAATTTTGGAAGTCTCATGGACAACCCTAACCAACAACTCAAAAGAGGGCTTCTCATGCCTGGTGTTGTGGTTTGCTTACTAGCTTGCTCAATCTGCTTTCTTATAGAACCCAGGACCATCAGCTCAGGATTGGCACCATCCATCATGGGCTGGGCTATCCCCCATCAATCACTAATTAAGAAAATACCTTACAAACTTGTCTAGAGCTTATGGAGACATTTTCTTGAGGTTCCCTCCTCTCAGATGACTTTAGCTTGTGTCCAGTTGACATAAAACTAGCCAGCACAGACTCAGTTTTCTTTCCTGTTTTCCACTGTTATTACAGATATGTACCCTCATCTGAAGACTGAATGGGAGCTTCCAGTGAGAGAGAGAGAGACTATGTGATGCTTTTCTTTCTGAATCTGAGTTACCTCATGAAATAGGATCTTTCTAGCTCCATCCATCCATACACCTGCAAGGTTGATGGTGTCATTTTTCTTTACCGCTGAATAGTATTCAGTTGTGTGTGTATACAGTATTTTCATAATCCAGTCACTGGTTGAGGGATATTTAGGCTGTTTCCATTTCCTGGCTATTGTGAATAGAGCAGCAGTGAACATGGCTGAGCGCAGAGGAGTAGGAGGTTGAATCCTTTGGGCAGATGCCAAGGAGTGATATAGCTGGGTCCTGTGGTAGACTTATTTTTTTTTTTTTGAGAATTCTCCACACTGACTTCTAGAATGGGTGTACCAGTTTAGAATCCCAACAACAGCGAATGAGAGTTGCCTTCCCCCACACTCCCTCCAGCATTTGTTGTCACTTATTTGTTGATTTTTACCATTCTGACTTTTGGTAAAATAAAATCTCAAAGTTGTTTTGATTTGCATTTTCCTAATTGTCAAAGTGCTTTTATTTACAATTTTAGCCATTTTTTTTTTTTACATCTGAGAACTCTCTGTTCAGGCCCTGAGACCATTTTTTGAATGAGTATTATTATTATCATTATTATTATTATTATTATTATTATTATTATTTGTTTTTTAAGTTCTTTATATATTCTGGATATTAATCCTCTGTCATATGTCTAGCTAGCAAAGATTCTTTCCCATTCTTGTGGGAGTCTGTGGGAGACCAGCTCCGGCTTGCTCCCAACTATCAAAGGGTTCTTGTGTGGAGGAGAAAGGAATGAGGAAATATTAGGTAGAAAGAGAGACCTAGACAATGCAGAGAAAGACAGAGACACAAGATAGCTTCAGGAGGGCCCTGAGTCAGTACCCAGCCATGCCCAGAGCTTTATTCAATAGGGTTTTTTTGTTTTTGTTTTGTTTTTTTTTTTTGGTTTTTCGAGACAGGGTTTCTCTGTGTAGCTTTGCGCCTTTCCTGGATCTCGCGCTGTAGACCAGGCTGGCCTCGAACTCACAGAGATCCGCCTGGCTCTGCCTCCCGAGTGCTGGGATTAAAGGCGTGCGCCACCACCGCCCGGCAGGGCTTTTTATTATATGCCAAGGGGAGAGGCAAAAGACCTCCCCCTTGCAAGATCAAAGCACACTGTACAGCCAATTGTAGACCCTTCGAAACATCTGGTAAACATGTCCGTGGCCAAATCATCCCTTTATACAGCCCCACTGGGTAAAGCAAGCTCAGACTCTCTGACTTTGAATAAGGTCTCACTAGGAAGCCTCCATGGATCTCCACACCTTCTATAGACTTCCTTTTCACCTGGTTGATTGTTAAGTTCAGTTGATGTATTGATGTATGCTGTCAGTTGGCTGTGGGATGGTCTGTATGTCAAATGTGTTTCTGTTTGGTCAATAAATAAATGACTGATTGGCCAGTGGCCAGGCAGGAAGTATAGGCAGGACAAGGAGGAGAATAAAGCTGGGAAGTGGAAGGCTGAGGCAGAGAGACACTGCCAGCTGCCACAATGACAAACAGCATGTGAATATGCCGGTAAGCCACGAGCCACGAGCCATGTGGCAAGGTATAGATTAATATAAATGGATTAATTTAAGGTGTAAAAACAGTTAGCAAGAAGCCTGCCACGGCCATACAGTTTGTAAGCAATATAAGTCTGTGTGTTTACTTGGTCAGGTCTGAGTGGCTGTGGGACTGGCAGGTGAGAGAGATTTGTCCTGACTGTGGGCCAAGCAGGAAAACTCTAGCTACTGTCAGTTAGTTCTGATGTTTCCCTGTCTGTTGAATGAAGTGGGTATTGAAATTGCCTACTGTTAATGGGTGGATATTAATCTGTGTCTTTAAATCCAGTGATACATTTTTCTAATGAAAAAGGTGCACCAAAGTTTGGTGTATCTATGTTTAAGATAGTAATGTTTTCTTGGTTAACTAGTCACTTGATTAGAATGAAGTGTCCCTCTAGATCTCTTCTGATTAGTTTTTGTTTGAAGTGTTTTGTTAGATATTAGGGTAGCAACACCTACCTGATTCATGGTTCCATTTGATTGGAGTACTGTTGTCCATCCTTTTACTCTAAGGAGGTGCCTCTCTTTAAAGCCAAGGTATGTGTCTTGTAGACAATAGATCAATGGATTTTGTTCCTTGATCCCTTCAATCAGCTTGTATCTTTTGATAGACAGTTGAGGCCATTGATATTAAGATGTATTGAATGTGTGTTACTTGTGGTCTTTGTGCTGTTGATTTCTGGTATTATTGTTTATATTCTTAGTGGTACTTTGTGTTTTCATAATTATGGCCTCATACTACTTCCACTGTCTTTCTACTATAATAATTCCTCTTTTCAGCCCAAAATATTGCTTCTTGTATTTTCTTTAGGTTTGATTTGTTGAATATAAAGATTTTTAGGCTATTTATATCTTAGTTTTTTTTCTCTCCTCCAATTATGGCACATAATTTTGGTGGTTTTATTAGTCTAGGGTGGTTGTCATTGGTTTACAGTCTTTTAGGACTTGGAATACATTATTCCAGCCTCTTCAGGTTTTCAGTTGAGAGATCATCTGTTATTCTGATGGGTTTTCCTTTATGTGGCTTCTGTTTTGTTTTGTTTCTCTTGCAGCTATCAACACACTCTTTGTTCCTTATACTTAGTGTTTTAACTATGATGTGCCATGGGGATTATCTTTTCTGGTCTTGTCTATTTGGTGTTCTGTGGGCTTCTTGTATCTATATTAGTGTGTGTTTCCTTAATTTGGGTAGGTGTGTAGATATTGTTGAAGAGCTGGTCTATGTCTTTGACTTGGGGCTCTTGTCTGTCATCTCTGCCTATAATTCTAAGAATTTTTTTTATTTGGTCATGGTATCTTACATATTCTGTATGTTCCTTTCCTGTGTTTTTTTAAGTTTTTCATATTCCTTGCTTATTTGGACTAGATCCTCTACTTTATCTTCAAGTCCTAATAGTCCATCTTCTGCTTGGTTCACTCTACTTATAAGACTTCCTTTGAGTTTCCTAGTTCAGTTATTGAGTTCTGAGTTCCATCTTCATTTCATGTTGAGTCCTCTTCAATGTTTCTATCTCCTTATTGGATTCTGTCCTCAGGTCCTGGATTGTCCTCATCATCTCCATCACCCAGGCATTTAGTTTATTTTCCTTAATTTCATTGATTTGTTTCTTTGTACTATCTTTAAACTTCTTGGGTTATTTGAGGAAGTTTATGATTGTTCTTTTAAATTCTGTGTCCTGGGGTTCATCTAAGCAATTGTCATGACAATCTAGTAGGTTTAAAAGAGAAGATACTGGCTTGATCTTTCATATTTTGTAGTTTTACATAGAGATCTAGGCATGTGGAGTTATATTTTAGTTTTAAGGATAATATTGATATGTTGTTGGGAAACAGAGAGGACATGTGAGTAAATTGGGACCTAGAGGTTGGAAATACCAAGTGTTGAATCCCATCAGATAGACAGAGGGGACTTGGCTAGTGTACAGGATGTACATTTTCATCCAAGCCTAGGTATAGGTGTAAAGATAAATCTGACTGGGTGGAAAGATTGGATGTGGCATGGGTAGGGCCTGTGGTTTGGGGTAAAGGTAGAGAGGGTCCTGAAAGAAGTCTAGAGAATGCTTCTGGTAAAGGCATGGGAGGCAAGATGAGGCCAGGGCACTGGATGTGGGCCCATGGCTTGATCTGGTAGATTGGGGAGAAGACCTGGATGAGCAGGGCCAGGGAGACCCACAGGGCTAGACTCTGGAGAATGGTGTGAGAGATCTGACTTGATGGGGAGTTTAGATGCTGCACAGATGGGACCTATGAATGATGGTAGGTACAGCAGTCCAGGATAGACCCTGGAGAAGACTGTGGGGAGTCTGGCTGGGTAGAGAGATTGAGTGCAGCACCAACTGTTGATTCTAAATAACACAAAAAGCAAAACCAGTCACTGATACTCCAAATATTCTGAGATAACCTCTTCTCACAAATGGACATCATTCCAGTTTATTTTTATTTATTTATTTTTTCTTTCCCAATGTGGTCCATTTAGAAATAAAAGTGAGGTCATTATGTAACTTGCCTTTTAAACATTGTGTTCTATCTTTAAATGTTTTTCAAATAAATTTTAGCTGTGAATGTGGCCCAACATAAAACTATAAGCTTTCTTAAAACTCTGTGAGGGGTGTGTGTGTGTTTGTGTAACTCAATGGTGGGCAGTAAGTTACATAACCATTATTCTTCAGTATTATCTATTTAAGTGATGACTGTCACATTTTGAAGCCACCAAGTTGTCATTTTAATGTGGAATTTTTAAGCCTGTGGGTAATGAGGAAAAGTATACTACCTTGTGCAAATTTGAGACTAGCTTCAACTATATATCCCAGGAGCCCTCTACCATTTGGCGACAATAAGCTAGTTGTTACTAGAAGCTAGTTGAGGTTCAAGTATACAGGAAGATCCACCAGTGTTGTGTCATCCTACTGTGTATGTGCCTCTTGCATGGATACCTTAATGTACCTTGCCCTTTTCTCCTCTATTACTTGTGTATTGAGATTGGCGTAGTCATCTTATTGCTCTGTTGCCTCTCAAGACTGAGGTCATGTCAGGAGTTATGGCCTCCCTTCACAACCACTGCCATGACGCCTTACCTACAAGGAGGTTTGCTGGGCCTCAGGCCCTTGAGGCGACTGCAGCATGGAACCTTGCAGGTGGTCCTGATCTGTTTCAGCAAAGATGTCACCCCCACTCTTCACAACTCAGGTTGAAGGCACCTTGACCATAGAAAGAGAGGCCTAGAATTCTTGAGGTGCCACACAGTGTCGCCTACACTGTTTTGTCTAAGATAAGCTAAATGGTCTATGATTTGAAAGGCAACATCATCGCTTCTCCAAATGAAGGCATCTCCTGGCTTTCTGCACATCATGTCCTGTGTGGTCCAGGCTCACATCATTGCTGTCTTCTGTGACCTTGTCACTCCAATGCCACAGTCTCCATCTATGACAGTCTGCTGCTCTCACTCATTCTTCTTGTGTAGCCACCCACTTGCCTGAAAGCCTGCTGGTCTCATCTCAGGAAAAGATTCTGAACTGTTAGGTTTTTTTTTTCAATCTTCATTTCTAGTCCATGGACTTATGTTAATTTGTTTAATATGCTTATATAATTATAGGTGTATAACAGATTTCCTGTTTTTAAAGAAAATTTATGTCTGAAAATTCAGGAAGTTGGTTTTTAGCTATTTATTCCTTGTGGTAAAATCTTGTTTTATTCATTATTATGCTTTAGTGTTAAAAATAGGTAAACTGGGATTTTACACCTTAAAGGAACATTACTTATGATCGTTAACCACATACTTTTCTGTGATGTGTTGCTTATGAAAGACACTGAAAGTATCATTTGTTTTAGCTTGGGAAAATAAATGCATTTGATACAAAACAATGTATGCATGTGACTGGGATTAAAAAGTATGAATTAATTCTTGGGGTGCTCCTTTTTTTTTTTTTTTTGCTTTTAGGGTGCAGGTTGCACAGCCCTGGTGGTAGCCGTAGTGGCAAGAAAGCTAGAACTTACCAAAGCAGAAAAGCATGTGCACAATTTCATGATGGATACTCAGCTGACCAAAAGAGTAAGTAGACACCCTCCCATCCTGCAGGAGGCTATCACTGTCTTGTTCGCACATCAGGAAATGTGGTTTTTCACTAAAACTTCAGAAGCAGAGATGCCATAGATTGAAGATAGCAACACTCCTGGAATTAGTGCCATGCCTTCCATTTTGCAACTGGACTACCTAACCAGCTCAATTAGGAATCATTGTATAACCTTTGTATTTATGTAAAAGTAGACCCCATAAATCTAGACAAGTAAGTATATCCAGCATTACAGCACAGTAACCCGTATTAGGCTGGGTAGAAAAGAACACACTGTCTGTGAGAGAGAGGAATTTTATGGTAAGATGGTTGGAGGAAATACTGCTGAGCTTCTGTGTGTCTGTGTTCTAAACATGGGTGTTACAAACATAAAATGTCCTTTCTATGACTTATAGGTCATCACATATATATTAAAAATGCCATAGCAGCCAGATGGAAGATCACCTTCCAATTATTAAAAGTAAACAAAGCAATAATCAGTGTTGAAAGAGCATCCACCTTGGCTATGTCCAGGTGTGACCCATGTGTGAACTTCCTTCATCCTCAGCAAGCTCATGAGGGGAGCCTTGTTATGGATATTTGATACAGTTTGGAAACCATGACACACAAAGCTTCAACAGCCTGCTCACAGTCATAGCATCAAGGTTGAAAGCTAGAAAAGAAGAGAAATAGTTTTATTAGGCTATGCTTTTAGCTTTTTCGATAGTCACTTGAAACATCAAAATACCAAAGTCAAAAATACCTAAAAAGGATCCTGTACCATCTTGTAGCAGTCTTCACTTCCCAAAGTAGAATTCCATCAGGCTGTTGTTGAGATAATGAAATGCATTGTCATTTGGTGAATCTGCCCACGAAAGAATCAATAGAATTTTTCAGACGACGTTCCAACTTTCAGTATTTACCTTAGTCTTGATTTAGTTCTAAGTACAAAAGTGATCTTTTTAGCTAAACATACTTGCAGTCCCAAATTGTCTCAAAGGGAAAAGATCAACTGGGGGCAGCCAGGCCAGCTTAGTAGGACCCTGTGTCATAACATAAATAATAGGCAACCTTGATTAGTAGCTCCAATACAGCAGTCACTTTATTACAAATTCATAATTATACAGACTTATTTATGAAGGGGGAACATGAATTTCTGTAGCCTTGCTCATACTTCAGACCCTAGAGCTAACAGTACTTCAGGAGTCTACTAGGGGATCAAAGCCCCTCAATTGCATATGTTATCTTTAGCCTGACTTTGCTATTTGCAAATACCTTTTTTTATGTGTTATTATAGAGGGTACTACCTGTGCTATGGTGTGTATGTGGAGGTATGTGGAAGTCAGAGAACAACACTATGGAGTCAGTTCTCTTCTGTCAACTTTATATAGGCTCCTGAGTTCAAACTCAGTTCGCCAGGCTTGCACAGGAAGCATCTTTATCCACTGAGCCATCTCCCCACCCCTCTGCCCCAAATGGCTTTTATTTCTCCCAAGTTTTTTTTTCAATTCCCGTTTCCATTCTTGAAACTCATGAGTGAAGATTGGAGAAAAGATTGAAGCGCTAGATGGGTACACCTCGGACTATATTTCTTTTCAGAGATCTAGAAATGGAAATACATTTCCACGTATTATTATTAGGATGCAATTCAGGAGTCATAGCATGCTCCTCTGTGTATCTCCTAGGGTTGGCCAATAAGGTTCTGTTTTGGCAGAGCTTGTGTTAGGAGTCACAAGCTTTACCATATTAAAGGAGGATTTCCATAAAGTCGTTTGTAACCCATGCTATTTTATCCTAAGTATTATACTTTTCTCAAGAATTAAATAAGCACTACAGTGGAGATGATGTTGCAGAGGGAGTCTTGTTGGCTTCTCAAACACTTTCTTACTAAAATGCTGTCCAAGTTTCAAAAGTCACATTCAAAAAGATACCCATTGGCTTTAATAATGTTATCTCGCTACTATTTCTTAGAAGTGGAACTACTTTGCAATGGATGCTTACCTCAATCAGATACTTGGCACAGTATGTGAACACAGCCCTCCAATATTCATCTATTCAAGATGTTATGCAAAGTCATCAGCTTAATGACTATCATTTTCTTGGAACATTCTTAAGTTGGTTGTTTATGGAATTTCTAAGTGGAATCCATCTAAAAATTTAAGTAAGAATTTCAAACTCCTCAACGATGTCTGAGGGAAACTAAGAGTGAATAAGGACAAACTCATCTTAGTCCAAACTCAAGAGCACTATATAAGTGTTGAGAGAGAAATACAAGAATTCCCTTGCACACTGCAGAGGAGAGAATTTTTTCCCCCAGTGGTTAGCAGGGGATATGGTCATAAACATTCTGAAATCTGAACATGACTCTAAAGAAAAATCAATTTGAGTGTTGAAAGGATATTCTCTCAGGAATATGTATAGATTTTTTAAGATTTCCAGTACATGTCTTATTGAAACAAACAACAGTGATGAGGAAGTATTCACCGTGTGCAAATATCAAGGGGAATGATTTTACTAAAAAATCGTTTCTCTGTATGACTATATTAAGCAAATAAAACACACTATTCATTGTGTCCCAGTTTCAAAAGCGTTCATTCTAGGAAAATTTACTTGATCTTTTAGAATTAAAAATTATCCTAGAGGTACATGTGCCCAGATTAAAGATGTTATGTGACAGAAGGAGCAGACTGGGGGTGATGGCTCAGTGTCTAACAGCCCTTGCTGTATAAGCATGAAGACCTGAGTTGGGATCCCCAGTGACCAAATAAAAAGCCAAGTTTGTATGTGCGTGCCTGAAACCCCAACATTGGTAGCAGATAAGGTGGATCCCCAGAGTGAGCCTTCTAGCCAGCCAGCCTAGCCAGCCATGTGAGCTTCCAGTACGGTCTTCATGTAAAAAGGTGCAGAGTGATACCAGATGTCCTGCTCTGGCTTCTACATGTGAGTCCTCATGTGCATGTACCATACGCACACAAGACAGGCCCAGCTATTTACTATTACTACTGATTCAGGACTAAACCAAGAGGAAATCTGAAGAGTTTGGACCCCAGAATGCCTTGGTATTGTAAAGAAACTTGTAAAACAAGCAATTATGAGAACTCTATCAGAATTTTATTTTTTATTTCTTTTTCTTTTTTCTTTCTTTTTTTTTGAGACAGGTTTTCTCTGTGAAGCCCTAGCTGTCCTGGAATTCATTCTGGAGACCAGGCTGGCCTCAAATTCACAGAGATCCACCTGCCTCTGCCTCCTAAGTTCTAGGATTAAAGGCATGAGCCACCACGCCTGGCTCAGAATTTTTTTTTAACTTTTTATTGATTCTTTCTGGATTTCATATCATGCATCCCAATCTCATTTATCTCCCCATCCCTTGACCCTTGTAACCTCCCCTTCAAAACAAAATTTAAAAGCAAAACCAAACAAACTTAAAACATCTTGACATGGAAGCTGTAGTGTGGCCCAGTGAGTCACACAGTTTAACCTTTAGTCCATACATCTTCACATGTAACTGTTCATTGCAATGAGTCTTTAGTCTGGTTAGAGGTCACTGGCTTCTGCTATACCCTCCATACTGGGCCCTCACTGGAACTTCTCTTGAATATCCTATTGTTGCCTTTTGTCAATAGAGATCCTGTAGCTTTGGATCTGCAGGATCCCTTCACATCTACATCCCGGCCCCTTCACATACTGCAGCAGTTCATAGATGAGGTTGGTGTTGGGATGGGCTACCTTATAGTCCTCATTCTGGGCCTGTGTGGTAGCTAGGTTAGTCAGCCTGCCAGCTTTCCCTCGTTTTCATCACCCAGGCAAGTTCTCCAGCACTACCCCAGCTAGCTCACCTGATGTAGCAGACAGCAGTGAATGGGGCCAGTTCTCCTGCTCTTGTGAGAGCAGGTCCAGCTCACCAGCACTCACACCACCAGGGCCAGCTCTACTGTTTTGTCCAGGTGAGCTGCAGGGCCAACTCTCTTGATTGCTACATTTGGTGAGGGGTAGGACCAGCTGTACCATTCTCATGGCCCTAAGGTCTGCTCTCCCACCTGCTGCAGGTGACAAGGGTCGGGGGGCAGGACATATTTCCCTTACCTTTGCCGTCCCATGGCATACGAGGGAAGGGCTAGGGGCAGCTCTCCTGCTCTCACATACACAGGCCCAGCTCACCTGCACCCCCCTCCAACAGAGTCAGCTCTAGTGTGCTGCCTGCTCAGAATTTTTAATTTTTAACCCACGCTATATAGATGTACTATGGAGAATAATAATACACATTAACATGCGCTGAGACTATTTCCAAACCTGTAGTAAGATCTATCATAACACATTCACACAGTTGCCACACCTCGTCTTCTGCATCTCCATTAACAAAGTCTCCAGACAAGTGACGAAACACAGCTTTTCCATTGGCTACCCAGCTCATTGGATTAAAACATGAAAGGAATCATACCATTCCCCTAGATCATGGATGTCTATTGTGAAAACCGGGAGCAACGACTGAAGCCAGGCAACCCACCCTCACCTCAGCAGAAGACACACTGGTTGCATTTCACATGAGCTTCCCACAAGAGGGGAGTGAATGAAAGCAAAGTGCGGTCGCGTGTGCGTGAAGATGATATAAGGAAACCCACTGCTTTGTGACCTTTTTACAAAAGCTTCTAGGGAGACCCCCTCAGTTGGTAAAGTGCTCACTTATTATTGCAAGCATGAGGACCTTAGATTGCTTCTCCCGGGCCTGTGCCAAAATCTGGGCACACATTGTGCGCCTGTAGTTCTTGGGCTGAGGAGGCAGAGGCAGGAGGATCATGGGTGCCTGCAGGCTACTCACCCCAGTCTAGCCAAATGAACAAGTTCCAGGTTCAGTGAGAGACCCTGTCTCGTATCACAAGATGGAGAAGAGGTTGAGGAAGACTCCCGGTGTCAGCATCCGCCCGTCACAGTCATGTGTATATCACATAGACGACGACAAGAAGAAAAATGAAATCAAAGTTGAAAATGAAGACTCAAAGTTACTGAAATCAAGGAAAAGTATAAGTAATAACCCCTTGTTAGTAGTGACAAACTGTTAAAAGCATCTTGATATCAGATAGGTTTATACAAAGTTTCATTTAAGCATTCATCTGCTATAAGAGTTTTACTGATTTTCAAAGCCCCGGCACCAGTTGTTTTTGGTACCCAGTACTGCAGAAAAATAAATGCAGTACCATATTTATCTTATTAGCTATAGTTTTATTTTTAATTATCTGTGGAGGAGAAATGTGATGCCAGGTAGCCTTTACACCTTGGGGAGTCATACAAAGGCATCTGGACTGGTGTTATTGCCTCTGCCATCTCTCCTATAGCCTTGGCTTGAGCAATTACCCAATACTTGATTATTAGTATGCCTTTCAAAAGAATTTCCAGTGAAGGATTTCAATTAAACACGGAAATGAGTTGGACAGAGAAAACGTTTCTATTTTCCTTTAGTTCAGCGTATGTTGGGACGAGGTACAGGGCAGTCAGTAGGGAGGAGACATGTGCCCTGAAGATCATTCTCCTCCCTTCTACGTTTTCAGTCCTGAGGCTCTAGCATGGAGCCTGTTAGATGCTAGGCAAACATTCTTCTACCAAACTATGTTCCCAGGCCTCTTAGTTTGCTCTAGAACTGCTGGATTTCCTCTTGGAAATAGTTTAGAGTTGTTCTCTAGATCTCGATAGTCTTCTTAATTACAAGGATCCTTCCTCGTGTGTGTGTGTGTGTGTGTGTGTGTGTGTGTGTGTGTGTGTGTGTGTGTGTGTGTGTGTTCATGAGCACACATGTCTATGTACAAATTGTGTATCCCATGATGCCCACTTAACACCATAGACATGTTTAACACCAGCTATGCCCACGTCAGCTTGGAATGTGCACACTGGCTGTTTCCTGGGCTCTAGGATGTTTGTGCTTCAGTTTGGTCCAGTTCCCCCAGGTGCTTTCTAATCTGTCTGCTTACTGTCCCGTTTCTCTCAGCCCTAACAAGGACAAGAAGACCCACACGTGGAAACATCTCACTCAGTCACTGGCAGAATTTGGATTTTTGTTCTGTGGTTTAATTCTGGCACGTATTGTTTTGTAGCTTCATGCTGAAAAGTAACAGTTAAAGCAGTAATATGTTTTAAAGACTTTATTAGGGAATGAGAGAGAAGGCATTTTAAAATCAATTCACGTGTTTCAAATTTTTTTAAAGGAAATGTCTGGGTTTCATTTCATTGAAGCCTGTCAGCTACAATGACTGCTTCGGGGACACAGATCCTGAGCATAAGGCTTCCAGTGCATCACCGACCCGCTCTACCCTGAATTGAGATTCCCTGCTCCACTACAATCCCAAAAGGAAATAATGATTTAAAATGCATCCAAGAAACAAGAAGTCACCCTTTTCAAAAGTTTGTAGAATTTAAAAGAAATTTGAGGTTTTCACTTTGTAGGCAGAACTCTATACAAATCAGTTGCTCTGTTTAATGCTAGATCATGTCCCAGCTGGAGACATGTCCCCCGAATTAAACTTTCATAATTAGTCTGACCATCACTCCATCTATTGTCACTTGTACAGGTCAAGCCAGAAGGTCATATACCAGGGCTGCTGATCAGTTGTCCAGATTTCCACAGCCACTTAGAGGGTTGGGAGCGCCCGTTCTCATAAGAATGCTCCCCAGCGGAGACTGCTGGAGGACTGCTAGCCAATCTCTTCCCACACCATGCTCTGTGCAAGCAGACTGCTCAAACCTCCATCTCTTGCACTGCACCAATTTCTTTGCCTTTGAAAAGACCCAAGATTTGGCTTCCAGTCTTTTTAGCTTCCCTGGAGAGAGGCGAGGTGGGTGGGCATCGCTTTGACTCATTGCCATACTCTCCATCTCTTCCTGTTGTTTTCAAAACTACTGGTTTGAGGAAGCATCCCATGAAAGTGGAACAGCTGTTCACAGGAAGTACGTAACAGCAGGGTCACCCACAAAACCACTTCTTCCGCAAGAAACCAGTCATTTTCTTAAAATTGGTTTTAACAGTACAGTTTCACTCAGGAAGAAAAGGGTTCAATCCTGAAAGGTGGCATTTCCTTGCAAAAGTAGGAAGCTATAGCTGTAACCTTACCACCAGAGTTATAGTATAATTCCATGGCAGCTTCTTATTGTAAATATGAGATGACAGGACTTTAGTCATCGTCATTGCTAGCACGCTCATGTTAGAGAAAATAAAATGCCAATAGGCTCACCAGGCCCTGGACCTGACTTGGTTACTATAGACTCAAGGCCTCAAGACCCATTTCTTAACTACAGCTTGCATGCTACTCCATCACTCTTTCTCCATCACCGCCTATTCTGAGTTGTCTTCCTCCACCCTGTGCCCAACCAGCTGTGGCTTTCTTCACTCCAGGGTATGAAGTGGGAAAACTTCTTAGGACAAGTAATTAGCCAATTAACTGGAGAAGCTCTGCATTTCCAGGTCCCATCGTAGAGCCAGGCAGAGGAGATCTACCCTGCCTTGGTCTCTATCAGTTCCCAGGGCCTCTGGGGATTTTAATCAGATATCAGTTCCTAAGGCCTCTGGGGATTTTAATCAGAAAACAAGTGATTAGATAAGATGACCAGCCTTCATCAGGTACAGTTACTGCATCTTTTATATCTGTCCACCTGTTTGAAATGCAACCTGTTTAATTTTCCCATGAAATCCTGATAACATCCCTACAAGTGAAAGTGTGCTAACAAGCAAATACACCAATCATTCTGGGAGCTTACGTGCATGGGGTGAACACACATATGGAAATATGCCTTGGCTGCACTGCACAGCCAGAGAGACTGGGTGAGCTTGCAAAAGACAAAATTAACCTTGATATTTGCCGTTTTGCCCTTCTCTGGGGAAATAGAGAGGATGGGGAAAGGATTTGCCATATAAGTGGAAAATTCAGCATCTCTGAATTTTCTTTAAATGAGGTGTTGAATAAAAACGCAGTTTCCGGTTAGAGCAAGGAGAGTGTAATACAGAAAGGGGTCAGTAGTAGTTCCCTAATGTTTCACTTGTGTCCCCAGGCAGACCTAAATTCTTGCATGAAGGAGGATATGCTAGGAAAATAGTCGTTTGAGTAGCAGTTTCTAAAGCTCCAGTTCACTGTGGTTCTCGGGATGAAAACCACAACCGTGAATGAGTGTGGGGAATCTGCTTTAGAGTGTAGCGACAGCTTTTCTTGTGTTTTCTAAACAGGTGAAAAACGCAGCCGCCAATGTACTCAGGGAAACGTGGTTAATCTACAAAAACACAAAGCTAGTGAAAAAGATCGACCACGCTAAAGTAAGAAAGCATCAGCGGAAATTCTTGCAAGCTATTCATCAGTAAGTACCTGTTTTCGTTTCTGTCTTCTTTCTTCTTAGCCTTGGCTTTTGATTCTTGTGCTCCCTGGTCCTCCCTTTGTGAGGGAGAAAAAGAAAAAGGCACTGCCATGTTTGCTTCCAGGAGACATCTGAAAATCTAATAATGGACTAAGAGAAAGGCTTAGTTCTTTTTATGGCTGGAAAGCATGTGTGATATAATCAAAATACCTTTGTCTTTGGAGGCCATAATTTCTGTTAGAATTATATTTAATTAATGCATTTATTTTTATAGTTTGACCTGAAATGTTCAGCTTGTATCCACGATAGAATCTTGGGAGAAGTGGTGAGGGACATTATATGATCCATCTGGATTTTTACATGCTAGCAAATATCTTTATATAACATAGTATATTTAATTGTCTTAATTCTGCAATATTCAATGACTTCTTAATCAAAAAATTGGGGGTTATCTATATGCTGTGTGATCATTATAGAGTTTAGAGTTGGTATAGTTCAATTTTCTCTTATTAAGTTACTTTTATTCAACTGACATAAGCTGTTCATGCATGTCTTTGTTATATAATTACTTGTCTCTTAAGTTAACTGTCTGTGATTCAGTGATGACTGAGAAACAGACCTTTCCAGGCTGACATTGTCTACACATTGCCTTCACATGTGGGTATCCACTGTGACACCAGACAGACTTGCTCTTAATGCCCTTTCTTCGTGGTCACATTTGTGGCTCAGGAAAGTGGTTTTCCTTGTGAGACATACCAGGGTAACAATGGAAATGTGGGTAAATATTAGGTCTTTGCCTGTGCCACATGATTGGCCTTCTCAGACCCATCTAGTACAACAGACAAGAAAGCTGTGAGTCTGGGATTTTTCTTTTACATATTTAGTTCATTCATAAGCAACATGGTACCACTAACCTTCTGTGAGGAATCCATAGACTTTCATTTTCTGACTTTTCACTGGTCCAGCCTCTGCCCTGCTTGGTTGGGATATTAAGGTATCCTGGTAAGTCTATAGTGTGCCTATAATGATGCTCATGTGCATACTTCTATGGGATTGAAACCTCTGTTAGTGCAAATAAAACCCAAGTAACTCTGGGATTAAAATAGAGCAAGCTTTGCACATGTGGTAGAATTGCTTATCATTATTGCTCACAGCTATTCACTTGTGCTCCTTATTGCCCCCCATGTACTTTCCTTAGAAGGGGATGGTATTTCTCCTCTACCTCTATGACTTGACTAGGTACACAACTGCCCTCCAGCCTTTAAGGAAATGACAGGACTCTTTTTAAAGTCAGGGGAAAACAAAGAGGAGAATTATGTTAGAGCTGGCTCACAAAGCAGGAGCCTGCTTCTTGAAATTCAGTTACCTTTGGGACCCAGGGTCAACCCAGGAACACCAGCCCAGATGGTGGCATTCCTTTCATTCTCCGTACTAGAGGGGTGAGGCCCCAAGAAATATCTGGATTCTTCCTGTGTTCCCTGAGCCCATCTAGACAGCCCCTTTCTCAGAGGATTCACTTGGAAAGAGCCCATTAGAAAAAGTCTGCCTTCTAAAGCCGTTCAACACAGTAACCCCACCATTAATATGAGCAATCACGGCAAACTATGGAGAGATCGTTTTTGTTCTGTTAATGTTTTTTTGGTAGTCTATTTTGTTTGAGTATGATAGAAAGCTTCCCTTTCTGGGTATGAGAAGACAACATCCAAACGTAAAGGGTATGCGAGATGAAGTAGGAGTAAGTATGTACATGTGTTGTGATCATGCTTCATTTTGTGTGCCTATCAGTGAAAATACCTAAAATACAGTCATATTTGATTTGCCTCTTGAATAAAAAAATCCAAAGCATGCACCAATAGATTTTTGTAATGCAGTCCTGTAACTTTATGGGTATGGTGATTATTAGTCTATTTTGTCAAGTACTTTGAGTTACAAGTGCATCCATACTAATATGGGATAATAGTCTGGTATTTATTCATTGCAAAATCTTTTAGCATTGCTGTAAGTTTCTTTTCTAACAAAATACTATTTAAAAAAATTCTCTGTACAAGGAAGCTGATTTTATGAACTGGCCAAAAGTAAGTGGCAAATTTGCCCTATGGGGCATGTCAGCCTGATTGGAAGGGCACATGGGAGGAACTTCTATGGAGTTCTTCGCTGGCTGCTCTGGATAGTGTGACAGAAGCCACTCTTATTCTTCTTCTGCTTCCATCAGACTTTTCCCATAATCATCCTTTTCTTGCCCTTTTTAATGCGATGTGTGCATCTAAAGCAGATGAGTCTGACGTAATTCAATTATGTTCAAAATTGTTTTATAAGTTAGTTTGGGGTTTGCTGAGTTCCCTGCTGTGGAGACTACTTAACGTTTATGAACAATTGCAGCAGAATAAGCGTGGTTACAGGGGCTGGGTTTGGCTAGATTATTCTACTGGTGCATAATCACTTGTCATGCTATCTTCTGTTGGGAGTTGTAGAGTGATGTCATGAAAGACAGCACACAGGGCTCGATTCCTCAGGGCCAGGTCTTCACTGTCCACTGCTCAGGGGTGCTCAGCATCATCTGCCAGCACTGCATGAAGTAGACCTAGTTGGACAAAAACTCACCAGTCATTGACTGGAGCTTGTCTGGCTTTTGCTACTCTCCCTGAGAGCCATTTTAGCACCTCTGTCCTCTTCTACCAGCCCCCTCTAGCTCAGCTCTTACTCTTTTCCATACTTTATGGCCTCTTTCCCAACATGCGACCTCTCTAGCCTCTGATGATGCTAAACTCTCTAGGTCAGTGCGCTCTTTTCAGTAATGCATTTGTCTTTATGAATTGTCGCTCAATGCCATGCAGTGTTTTCTCTCTCTCTAACTTTCAACCCTTTTTCTGATAGCAGCTTTAACTTTTTCATTCTTCTGTCTCAACCATGGATCCATCAATCAACACGAACTTGTCTAGAGCCAAGAAAGCTAATGTGCATAATTTATATTAGAGGGGGATTCTGAATAGCCCCGATATGGAAAAGATATGCTCTCCCTTCAAAAGAATCATTATATCTGTCATTCTAAGCCAAAGTGTTTCCTATTATTCCCCTGAACACCAAGTATGAAGAGGCCAACATGACTTTTATGCACCTTCTTCATTCTGAATTCTGGTGTAAGAGGAAGCCAAGTGCTTTCAGGTAGGCAGAGTATAGTAGCAACAAAGGATGGTGATGAACTGAATAGTGCCAATCAATGTCAAGATCCTGCAGGGTCTTCCAGCTGATGAATCGAGCCCCCTGTGCACAACTGAACACCACATTATGTTATTTTGTTTCGGAATACTTTACAGTTTCTTTTCTTTTGTTTTGTCTTTTTATTTCAACAAAATGAAAATAGAGCTCGGAAGTAAGTTGTGTGAGCTGTTCCTTTCAACATTTGCAGAATTTTCTACTGGCTGCATGCACCCAGCAGATCCTTTATTTGTGAATTTTGGTAGTCTGATTGCTGCTATGGAAATGTGATCCAAAATCATGATATTTTCCTGTGATAAGTGAAGTTCACAAGGAAGAAATCAACATCTGTTTCTTAATCTTTTGTGGGGAAAAAAGTGTACTATCCATGTGCATGTTACCTTTTATTCTGGCAGCTGCATCTTGAGCAAGGTTTCACTGTCTGCTCTTCTAACATCGCAGGTAGTCTAAGAAGGCAGTCCCATATCACAGGCAGATCAGAGGGCAAGACAAGCTCATTTAAGTCCCAAGAGCTAATGGAGTTCCAATCAGGGTCAGATCACTAATAAATCAATCCGATTTATTACTAATCTAGAAAGCTACATCATCTGACGTAGCTTTCTAGATTAGTAATAAATACCATGGGCAAAATTCTACTGTCAGTCATAGCTTGGAAATCCAGCTGAAGCACACCAGACTCCAGTGTTTTTGAAAAAAGTTTCCTCTTTACCTAACAACCACCTTTCTCCCCCTCCTCCTGTTTTCTAAGTTCAAGACTCTCTCTTTACTCACAAATTGCTGGAGGTATCAGGTCCAGAGCCCCAAACTTTAGGCATTATTGAACTTTAAAAGAAAACTTGACGTAAGTTCCCGTCGTAAAAGGCATCATTCACAGTAGAAAGTAAAGGTGCCATCATCTGGTGATTTTAATCCTGGCATTGAATTATAGCCATAGGCTAGAAAGCTCTGAGCCAAGATCCTACCCATCTCCTGTGGGGGAAAATATTATAATCAGGTATCAGGCAGTAGAGATAAGATAGGACCTGCCTGGCACTTTTTTCTTTCTGCAATAATCCATTCATGGTAGTTAAAGGGAAAAGCTGTCTTTCTGCACGTTTTAGTATTAAGGTCTTATTTGGGTGTCACTTAAAGTCATTTATGATACCTCCAGCACTCCAGGACAGTCCTAATATAACACTTCATTCCATGCTTGAAGAAGCAAAGTCAAGTTGGGGTCAGTAAGAGTTGAGTCCCCAGCTAACATTGCAGCTTTCCCTACTAGACTTCTCGTCACTGATCCACAGACAGCCAAGGTGCTTTTTGCTTGATTTCCGCTGACTTTTCATAGGTAGAATTGAAGAGTTATAACCTTTCTTAGTGCTTAGAGAAAACTGTCCTCAATATATTGAATTTAAATATGTGTTTATAGATTTCTTTTCAATTAGAACTCACTCTATCTCTACAGTAACATCAGAAGGAGCCATTTAACTTGGTTCCGAGTTTCTAATGAATACACAGCAAGGAATTGATAAATCTGAACCATTTTAGATGATTTGAGACTGTAGTAGAGGTGGATGCCATTGAGACTCTAGCTGGCAGGAGCTGTATCTTCACTGTGGAGCAGACCCAGCTACATGCTCGCTCTCTTAGGTGCAAGATGAAATCACTAAGTGCTGTTAAACACATTAGGAAAATCTCCCTGGCAGTAAAATCTTGCCCTGTGAATTTTTTATTTCTCTTATGTAGTTATATACTATTTAAATTAAAAAGTATAAAATACTCTTTTTACTCATTGAAACTATACTCAGTAAATGATTCATTATCAAGCCCAAGTGAGATTAGCATGGATTTTCTTTTTTCTTTTGTCACAAAATAGCTCAGAGATACTGATTTCTTTTTTTTTCTTTTTTCTTCTTTTTCAGTCAGGCTTTGAATGTCTGGCTTACAGAACAGTAACCTACCTCTCTCTTGTAAAGTCTTAATTTCTTGAACATAAGAATCGTGGAATATCTACTGGGGTTCTACAATAAATAAGTTTAAAAAAACAGTTTTTATTTAGAAAAATGGCTTTTTAAGAGTGGCCTTGTGACTGTCAATCAAATACATGCAAGGATATTTTAAAGTAACTAAAATTAATCTTAAAAATAGATATTCTACGAACTAGATATATTTTGTCAATTTTTTTTAAAAAAAAAAAACCTACATTTAAAACTAAAAGAGATTCTCCCAAAGATATGGTCTGGCCTCTGTTTAAATTCAATGTCAGTTTAAGGTAAAGTCAAGCAAAATAGAGTAAGAAAATTATATGTTTTGAGTTATCTTGCTGCTGGTTGAATAAAAGTGGTTTTTGTTAACAAGAATCTCACTTATCACTGTGTTTTCATCAGGTTCAAATACCTAACCCAATTCATTTCAGACTAAACAGGGTTAATACCTGTATCTAGTCACGTAGGCATAGGAAGGTGTTCATTGCTCCAACATGATGAAATTCTAGTTGCTTTGCATATTTCTTCCTATGTCTATTTGTCATGATACTGGAGCTTTAAGGAATGTTTTGGCTTTTTTCTCATATGGTTAAATCCTTATGAGTCTTCCTGAACTCAACTTACCTGGTACATGGTTGTCCTGAGGACATCTCATCTCTTGCTCTCCTTTCTTTTTTGCGGTGTTGGGGAAGCATGCTTCTCATTGTACCAGACACATAACCAGTGTGGACTTTACCCCCCAAATACTCAAGGCATTATCCATGCAGTTATTTGCTCTTGTGGATTTTGTGCATGCCCTCTGAAAGCAGTGACCTGGCCAGAGAGACAAGAGGGCCTTTCTGATTTCAAATTCTGTCTTTTAGATTGAGAAGTGTGAAGATGGAACAGAGGAAACTAAATGATCAAGCAAATACCCTAGTGGATCTGGCAAAGGTAATTCAGAGGGGCTCAGCCATAAGGTTGTAGCCATAGAAATTAATCACTACACAGTGATGGGCAGTACTTCTGCAGACGCTGCCACAAACTTAACACAGCTACCACATCACCCCAAAACAATGATCCAACTTAGAAGCATTCTTTTTCTATAACTCATACTGAGTTCATATGCTCTTTCCCCATATTCATTATCCAACCCCAATGCTAAAAGACTCCATGGGGACAGTGCACCGGAAATACCGTAAGACCTCTTAGAGGAATATGAAATGATACCTCATCTGTAGAAGAACAGAACTATATACATCTTAGATGTGACTATGAGGTTCAGGGATAAGTAGAACTCATCATCCTTATTATTTTTTAATCTCAGAAAGTATATTCTAAAATGAAATTTATGTTTCAAAAGAAGTTATACTCACTTTTTATGTTTTTTCTCTATTTTATTAACCAAGTACATTCATAGTTTTTTAGTTCTTTGTCACATCCAAAAAATTTATCTGCTTTTTTTATTGTTCCTTCATAAGTAAAATCCACTCTGAAAATATGAATATTTATCAACTGTAAAAACATCACATCCTGTTCAGCTAGTTCCAAAGGAGACTCTAGAATAGAAGTATATACGTGTTCTGCCTTTTAGCACAATTGCTTTGGCAGAGGCAACACATACATCCTGTTTTATATTTGACAAATCATATTATGTTTTTGCCAAATCTTCAAGTATAATCTGTGAAAATTAGACATTTGGCCTAGTCTTATTAAATAATACTTCCAAATTATATTCAATATATGCATTATCAGTAACACATACTAGATGCATATTCAAGGTAAGTATTCAGTGACTCACCTCAGGGAAGCAGACATCATTCACATAAGCTGGGCAGTATACAAGCAAGCAGGACAAAGACATCCTCCATTAACGTGGATTTCACTTGAGGTAGTGAAATAATATTTATGTGTTGCATCACTCCTAGGTTAAATGCTTAAAAATATTGGACATTAAAAAATAAAGCTGACTCCTTTAAGTTAGTATAAAGGAAAGGAGTATACTGTTAAGAATAGAGCAGGAAACTGAAATCTGCCCAACCTAGCACACATGAGCTCATGTGCTTGCACACCAGCACTACTTAGATACATAAAAGGTCTACACAAGGTAAAATATATTTGAGCTATTTATGCAGTACCATACTTACTCTGACCACAGGATGATACATGTCATAAGAGTTCAGTATTTTTCTAATGAATGGATGTTGTTCACTTTTCCCAAGAATGTAGTAAAAGTGAAGTTAGTGCTCTCTGTGTCCATGGCTATATTCTGAATGGCTATATTCAAAATGCCTATATTCTGAATGACTCTCTCAGTCAGTTCATTTATCATCTTTAAGCATCAGTGAAGCTGGAAAAGATACAGGAAGAAATGGAGTAGGAGGAGGATGTGACACAAGGAGTCTTGGATCTGGGAAAGATGGTCCTAGGCTCAGTATAGCATCTCTGTCCTTCCTCTTGGCCACTCTTTTCTATCCCTGGCTCTGAGCTGCTCAACCCTGCAGCTCTGCAAGTTTCTTAACTTCTTCAGGAACTATAACTAAGACCTAGACTCATGACTCCCTCTGATCAATTGAGTTTTCTGTTCAAGAAAGCATTTCACATTCCTACTTCAAGTCATGTAGCTCTAAGTAGACCATTCCAATAAGGCAACCTGTAAATTTTGACTTGTGTGGTGTAAAGAGCTGTGTGCTTGTCAGGCAAGTGGTTGGCCACTGAGCTTTAGTCTTAGCCATGGACTTGTAGTTTAATATTCCCCACAACTATTAACCTTATTGAGGATTTATATTATTTGACATTTTATCTGTGAAACTTTTTGTTGGATTCAATGAAAAGAGGTCTGAGGTTTGGAACATAGACAACAAAAGATGTGTGAGTATTGATTGTTTTAAATTACTAAGTTATCTGCTCAAATCAATTGATCCTAAACTTTATTCCTACTCTCCCATCATGTTTTTACATTTCACTATCATCTGTTATTTTCTTTTGTTCTTTAAATCTTACTGTTATTATAAAAATTGGCCGTATTATAATGTCACATGTTGAAATGAATTTGATATGCTAACTTGTATAAGAATCATTACCACATAAATATTACAATGAAACATTTTTATCTAAGTTTATGCCACCTAAAATCATTGGGCATTTAACAAGCAATAACTACACCATACTTCCTAAATCATAACCAGTTAATGCCTGTCATCAGTCATTTATATCTTCATATTAAGAATACATGGAACCTAAACTGTTCGGTTAGCAGACACACCTGTCACCAGCAAGAGGCTAGGGTTGAAGCTGGAAGAGTTGACAGTTTTCTTCTGAGGCAAGAGTAATGAAGCCTCTTACTTCTCTGTTCCTGTCTTCTCAATCTTGTTTTCCAGACCCAGAATATCATGTATGACATGATTTCCGACTTAAATGAAAGGAGTGAAGACTTTGAGAAACGGATCGTCACCCTGGAAACAAAATTAGAGACTTTGATTGGTAGCATTCATGCCCTCCCTGGGCTCATCAGCCAGACCATCCGACAGCAGCAGAGGGACTTCATTGAGGCTCAGATGGAGAACTACGACAAGCATGTCACCTATAATGCTGAGCGCTCCCGGTCCTCGTCCAGGAGGAGGAGGTCCTCCTCCACAGCGCCACCAACTTCATCAGAGAGTAGCTAGAAGAGAATAAGTTAACCACAAAATAAGACTTTTTGCCATCATATGGTCAATATTTTAGCTTTTATTGTAAAGCCCCTATGGTTCTAATCAGCGTTATCCGGGTTCTGATGTCAGAATCTTGGGAACCTGAACACTAAGTTTTAGGCCAAAATATGAGTGAAAACTCTTTTTTTTTTTCTTTCAGATGCACAGGGAATGCACCAATTATTGCTATATAGATTGTTCCTCCTGTAATTTCACTAACTTTTTATTCATGCACTTCAAACAAACTTTACTACTACATTATATGATATATAATAAAAAAGTTAATTTCTGCACATACTTGTTTGGTCTCTTCCCATTTCTATAACTTCACCTCTTACACTGTTTTCAGGGTAAAGTGACTGGCTATTATCTGATCCACACTGATAATTTCGATTTCCAAAATGTATCCTGAAATGAAAAGACTAAAGTGTTCTATGCCTGATTTGAGAAGATTTTCCTTCCTGAAATATTGATATCACAACCATTTGGCCCTACCCTGTTTTCACTTCACAGCATATTTTAGTGTACTTTGCTTCCAAATGATGTGGAAACTTGGACAGTTTTATTAGGACATATGCGAACAAGGGGAAGAGACACTTTCAATAATTATTTTATTCCCATTTTATAGGCAAAGATACACAAAGGAAGTATCAAGGGACATCACTGTGAACTGATATTGCAGAATTTCAGCTCTAAACTAGTGATTTCCTAGTTCATTTACCATGGAAGCCCCAGGCTATATACTCTTAGATGTTTGCCGTATATATGCCTAGCCAACTATCTATCAATTTGTAGATTGTCATCACAATAATAAATATATATGAGCCAAACCAAACCCCTCACCTAACATATGGTCCTTTCTTGGACTCCACTAACACATGAGGTACAAGTAAATGACATACAATAAATTTCATAGATTTCCATACCTGTTTCAAGAGGAGCTGTAAGCAGTTGGTGTGAACGGGAACTGGGAAGTTAAGGTTGCAAAGTCACCATAAACAGAAGCTAGGTTTGGAAAGAGCAGATTGAGCGGACCACATAGAAGTACCTCACTTAATGTTGTTCCTCAAACCCAACAGGGGAAAAAAAATGAAGTGAGAGCCAATGCATTGTGACAAGTTACAGCCTCTTTTGGACACTCCAAAGACAACCTGCTTACATTAGTCTGATCCTGGACATTATTTAGTTCAGGAAAGTCTGTTTGGGAGCTCACACTCTCCTCCTGATTGCACATCCTATCCTCTGCTGTCAAACTTACAGTGATGCAAGCTGCAAGCATTATTATTTTCTTCTTTGGAAAAAAATGCAGTGATATATTTGTTCTGCTTTGCATAGTTCCGTAGAAAAAACTTCCACATCTAATCTCTGTAACTTCAAAAAATAAATAAACCGTTGCCCAAGACCAAGTACAGGTGCTTGAGATTGCAGGAGACCTGCTTATCTACTAACTACCCAGAGTAGCTAAAACCAAGCTCTCTCTCTAGAGATAGATAGATAGATAGATAGATAGATAGATAGATAGATAGATAGGTTTTTTTTTTTTTAACACGGATGCTGGACAATGACAATGCCTGGAAAACCTTTTGATATCAAAGGACAGATGATATTAAACTGCTTATGGATGCATACTGCTGAGTTAAGCAAATGTCAACCTCCTACCTCATCAAGATTTCTCATTTGTAGATGCAACTAAACTGTCTTTCTATATATTTTGTGTCACATGCAAGACTATAGCAAATATTTGGTACAAACATTGAAAAGAAAAGAGAACATTTTTGAAAAGAGGATATATTTTTGTAATTGATGTAGTTAATTCTTGTGTTTTCTACCTCTGTTGTGACTAAAATCAGAGTCGACATAATTAAGTTTAATTAGCACTTTACTGATCAGTTGGCAATCTAAAAGAACAGGGAAAAATAATATAGTGCTCCTCTTATTGAGGAAGAGAGAAGAGAAAGAATAAATTAAGGCTGCATTATGTTCATTTTCTTCCTCCTTGTCATAGCCCCTCTGCGTAGAGTAGTCTTTAGGGCTTTAAATTAACCTCACCTTTGCTATTCCTTTGTACAACTATATGAAGACTGACAAGACATATCTCTCCTCTCTTTTAATGCAAAACAATCACAACTTAAAAGAGAGATCCATCCACTCTAAAGATATACCTGTCATGATCATGCTTCCTTAATTTCTCTTTATGTAGCATTATCAAATCTCCTTTCAAACAGTTTTGAATATTGGAAACATCCTTATGTCTGCAATGTGCCCTTCAGAATGCCCAGTGAGAATTGATTCTGTTGGTTTTTCAGCTGGCCACACTCTGCCCCCTGTCTCTATAGCCAGGGTATGTGTATCTTTTTAAAGTACAGGCACTGTCCTCAATAAGTTCTCCTATTTCCTTATGCACACAGTGTCTATGCTAGTCACTAGAAAAAAGGAAGTGAAGGTGGGTCAGATGCGTAAGTGGTGTTCAACGTGGAAACTTTAGGTGCCTTTCCCTGTATTTTCTCCCCTCTTTATAGCTGTTTTCCAAGAGGCTCTTCAGCAAAGTGCCTGTAATAATTGAGCCATTATGCTTGTAAACAATGCATGGGGACTGAAAAAGAAGCTATTGGTTAGAGTTGATAGGAACCTTCTTTTCTTTGTATTATTTAAATTTTGTCCAGTCTTCAGAACTGACATGGTAAAATAGACTCTAACTGGGATTCATGATTTACCTCTGCTTCCTCCTAGTGCACTTGAATGATGTTCATCCTTTAGTTCTAAACCCCTACCCATCCATAGAATGGATAGCAGAAGACACATATCTGTGGAGCTCTATAGAACCGGGTCTTGCTCTCTCAATGGTGGGAGTTATTTTTATTACTGTGTTTGGGATAAGGTCACAACATTAAATATCCTCATTATCCACCTTTCTTCTTGTAGCTCCTAACACATTGGAGTGCAGATTATAAATCCCATCCCCTCTGCTTACCTATCTACTTCATTTTTGAAGCAAATTTCTAGACACTGGATTAGTGCATCCATTTCCACATCATCTCACTATTGTTAATGTGAACCAGAATACTACTAGGATGCTTTGTGTCTCAAATTCTGTGACTCCATTCTGTTCATAAGTATGATCCTGAAATGTGGAAGATGGGGCAGTGATGGAGAAGTCACCTAAGAGAAAAGGACTAAAGGGTTCAATTCCTCTTCCAAATCTATCCTTGTGGGTCCTGGGCTCCAGCTTATCCCAGAATATAACACACTGTTGTCACTCCTGTATTCTATCTGAATTGTCAAGTCATTGCACTAAGGAAAAAATATTCATCTGGTTGTCTGACAAAATCCTGTGGGGAGGGGATTGACTGGAGTATCCAGGAACAAGGACTGTGCCATAGACAGCTCTCCACACCACTGTCATCACTGCTGGAGGACCCTCTTGTCATGGTCTATCAGTTTGTTAGGCTAGGCAGAAAACAAATGCATATACTTGTGAAGGATGCCTTCTAGCGTGGCTATTCAAGATGTCAAGTCAACGTACCCAGAAATACTGAGTACACATTACAGTTTCACACGTTTCCCAGGTGACTTTTAAAAACCACTTGTACTCCCCTCTCCATAAAATGCCCTTTCTCCAGTAATACATTCTTCTGCCCCAAAGTGTATGCCCCCCAGATGACAGTGTGTGCAGCAGAGATATGACCCAACCATTCAGAAGGACTGAAGATGTGATGTGTTAGAAGCCTGCTCACATTTGGGTCCAGCTCAAACCTGAACACAAAGGGGCAGTAGCCACAAGCTGCAGCCAGTCAGAAAGATGGACAGAGGAGCTTTTCTATTGCTGCTCACCTGCCTCCAGCAACATTTCACAAGCTTAGGAAGGCCTTTGTGTGTCTCTCTCTCCATGGCCCAGCTCTTTTTAACTATGTCAGAGACAAGTTTTATCTAATCCTTTCAGTAACATAAGTACATTTCTATTGTACAGATGAGGATGCTTTCAGTATCTATTTCTAAAGTATATTTAATATAGGGAATAACTTCCTTTCCCATAAATGCATTCGGTTTCCTGAGAACTCCCACTCTGCATGCCCTGAAATATAAAATATAAGCTTATGAACAAGATAAGATTATTTAATACTTTCCTCCTAGTTTCTTTTCTTTTTAATCCTGGCTGCAGCCTCTCCTCTCTTTCCCTCCCTTGCCTCCTCACACTTCCTCCCCCCTTCCCCTACACACCCTCCCTCAATTCACCCCTCCTTATTCACTCATAAAGGGGCAGGCCTCCCATGGGCATCAGCAAAGCATGGTATATCAAGCTGCCTTAAGACCAAGCACCTCCCCCTGTATTCAGGCTAGGCAAGGCAAACCAGCATGAGGAATAGGTTCCCAAGAGCCAGCCAAAGCTCCAGAGACAGCACCCGCTCCCATTGCCAGGAGTCCCATAAATAGACCAAGCGACACAACTGTCATATATACGCAGAGGGCCTGGGTGAGTCCCATTCAGGCTTCCTGGTTGTTGGTTTAGACTCTGTGAGTTCCTATGAGCCAGGCTAGCTGTTTCTGTGGGGTTTTCCTGCAATGTACCTGACAGCACCCCCCTACTCTTACAATCCCTCCTCCCTCTCCTCAGCAGGACTCCCAGAGCTTGGCCCAATGTTTGGCCCTGATCCTCTCTGAATCTGCCTCTATCAGTCACTGGATGAAAGCTCTCTGATGATGACAGTCACCAATCTGATCAGGGGGT